TTGTCTGGACTTTGTATTTGAGAACTCCTTATGCTAGGTAAACTTGACAACATAGTCCTGTTATTGTTTTGATGATTCACTAATGAACCAGTAGGATATACAGTATCATCATTTACAGTATTATATTAATTAATGGGTAAAATTTTACTTTAACTACCATAAGTATTTGGATGCTTAGATTTTAGATAGGCTATATTGGGTAAATTTTAGGATTTGGTCATCCCTGTACTTAGACATACACACTATATTTTTTTTTCCAGATGGTTTGCGATGTGTTATAAATGATTTTGACTTTCATTTCTGTAGAAATCACTAGTTTTGAGGTCCCCCCCCTTGCCGGTGTATGTTAAGTTAACCTTATAACTTATAATATAACTTATACATACCAACATATGACCTGTATTTTCTTATGCGATAGAAAAATGTTTTGTGACAGAAATCCCATAGAGATATAATTTGTCTTATTGTTTAAATTACTTAAACCCATAGTTAGAATCTTAAGGTTACCCAGAACACCAAAACCAAAATAATACCAATACTGTTTGGAATGTTTATACTATGAAATTTGTAGTAGGGGCAGCTAATATCCATTAAATTAGTTAATGTGCTTCGTAAAATTTATATATTCAATATAGCATTACTGTGTTGTGCAGTAAAGCACAATTAATTTCCTAATAATATTTAGAGCCGATCAGCTGAGAAGGTTGAACAACTACTTCCAGGGTTCATCAAGGCAGATGAAAAAAATTTCCCAAAAGTACATCTCTTTATGATTGTAGAGTATTATCAAGAACTCTACCATCCAGCTATGAAGCACATTAAATTACATCTGTGATCTGATCATCTCAAGCCCATTCCCTGGCCCTAGTCCTTCCACAACATTAAATATAGACATCAGTGACATAAACTTACATTTTCCAGGCATGAAATAGAGAACAGTGATGAAAACTTCCATGTTGGAGTTATCGGTCTTTTGCATCATTTTGGCAGCCAGCAAATAAATACACACGATGATACATGAGCAGTAATTTATTTTAACCTAAATATAAGGTATGCCTTTGTATATCAACATTGTATGTGGCCACAAGTCCTGTAATTTTGCTGGTACAGTGAGTTCTGCTATAATGCGTGTTTTGACAATGCAAATTGGCTCTAACGCGATTTATGAATACAGGAACGATATTTGTATAACGCAAACGCTTGTTTGCTGTAACGCGATTTTTGCTTACTATTTCTCCAATTTTGTGGTATTAACTGTGAATATGGTAAAGACGAATATCTCCAAGAAGCGTTCTGTTGATCGCATTCCCAGTGATGATCGTAAAAGAAAGGCTATAACACTTGAAGAGAAGCTCGATGTTATCAACCTCAAAATCACCCTTCTCCCCCATCAAGTTATATTCATATTTCTTCACGGTAAAGTGTTACATTTAATGTATGATTTCATTATTAGATATGAATGTAACATTTATTTAGACTGCTAACCTTTGTGTTAGGCTAACTACTAAAATTTTTTCGATTTCGAGTAGTAATCTGCACCTAACCCTATTTTCTCCATAAGCCCTGTTATTTCTATTATGCGAATTTCTATAACACGATGTTTTACAAGAACACAACTATCGCGTTATAGCAGAACTGATCGTACACAACACATACTAATGGATGTACACCACAGCTGGTTGCCTCTACATTCCCTCTCTGCAGCTCGAGGGAACCAGTGGTGTCACAACTAATCACAGAGCTTTTCACAGTCACGTGACTTTTTAGCAACTGTAAACCTTAGTTTTTACACTTTTTGGCCTAATTTATTTTAAAATATCATTACCATAGTGAATTTAAGCATTTTGTTACGAAAAAATTGCGACTATCAACTCGTCATTTGCAGGTGCTCTAATCTCTCAGGGTAGCTGAGGTGCCAAAGTGCAGTCTGGTGGCCCTACTTTTTACATTTCAATGAACTGACAGTTCCTAGCATATCTTGGGGACCAGATGGGGTGACAGTACTCCAGGCGGGGAATCACCTCGCTCTTGAGGATCATTAATACCAATGACAAGCTCATTGAAGAATATTAAAACCAATGACAAGCTCATTGCTGCACTCCAGTACCTCTAGGTGGTCCTCAGCAGGTCTAGGAGTGGATGCCAAAGCACAGAATGCTGGTGTAGCCTCATCAAATGTTTTCCAAACTTCCCACACAGTCCTCTTGCCTCTGCCAGCAAGGGAAGAGACTGTGTCACACCCACCGAATGTGTGAAGAAAAGGCAATGATTTGCATTCCCAGGCCCAAGAGAACCTGCCATCTCATGGACTGGGAGGTATCTGAAGCCTGTTCCTGTGGCAAAAGCTCAGTTATATTGAGGAGATGAAAAGCTGCTATGGCCAACACTAGCACGTCACTGTCAACTGTACAGGTTATCACCTGGAAATAGCAATGCATGACTTACATCTGCTACATGCAGGAAGATTCGTGTATCGGCTTCCTCCTAAGTGCAGGGGGCAAGGCTGGTGATGTCCCTTGGCTGGGTACAGAGTACATTTTTGTGGTCTGTGACAATGACCTGACAATCAGTCTCAAGGGCTGCTACTTGTTTGCTCAAGAAAGAGAACAGCACTATTTTATTGTCGTCATTTCTTTGAAACTCCTGCCAGTTTCTAGGTAGAGCATTGGATGATTCCACTCGCCTGTGGCTTCCTTTGTACCTGTTACTGCGTGCGTATGTCTTTAGGCTGCCTGGAATATACTCGTTGCTATCTTCTTGAAGACCAAGAGATTTTCTGCAAGTGTCTTGTACCCTGCTCATCCTGTGTTACACTATGATTGTGCTGGACAAATAAGTGTTTCACTTGACAACTTTGGACATAGCACACATTAATTTTGTCCCAGTCAGTTTCTGTAGCAACTGATGTGCTAGGCTGCTGGAAATCTGCTATTTTATATATTTTGGACATTGCCTTCCAGTTTAAATGACTATCTGGAAATAGAAAAAAAATAGTCACACCATCTTTTGCCATCTAACCCAACCCAACCTAATGACAAAGAAGCCTAGGAAACATCTAGCAGCCTTTCCTGAAAGAAACGTGTGAGGAAATAAGCAAGATGTGGAAGAACATAGCATAGAAATAGACTCTCGTATAGGCTGGCGGCCATTTCTTAAATGGCTACCATGGTCCTCAGGGAAATAATATGCATTGGCCTTGTAGCTGAAAATAATTATAAAGATATTATCCAATAGTGTGCCACTTTCCATGCTTCTATCATTAATACCACAATTTTACCTCCAGTCTGCCTGACTAGTAGTGCATTGTAGTGCAGTGACACAAATAGTGTCAACGGCCAGCGAAAGGATTAAATGCTGGTGTTTGCACAGGTCCTGGTATTCACAGATTTTTAATGGCTAAAAGTTTGAATATTATAATGGCCGGGTTGACGGTCATAATTTTTTCATAAGATGGCAGGTCAATGGATAAAGAAAATGCTTAAATTCACTATGGTAATGATATTTTAAAATAAATTGGGCCAAAAAGTGTCAAAATAAGGGTTAAGGTTGCTAAAAAGTCAGGTGACTGGGAAAAGCTCTGTGATTGGTTGTGACGTCACTGGCTGGGGCGAGGTTCCCAGCAGGAGGCAGCCAGCTGCAGTTGTCCAACCTTCTCGGCTGATCGGCTCTGTAAATAAATATTGATTATTAGATAACTAATTGTGCTTTACTGTGCAACACAGTAATACGTACCATTTTAAATATAAATATTACTAAACACATTCAAACTAATTCAATGGATATTTACTGCCCCCTGCCCATACAACAAATTTCATAGTACAGTACAGTATAAACATTCCAAACAATATTGATATTATTCTGGTTTTGGTCATCTGGGGAACCTTAACCCTTAAGCCCCGGGTTAGGGTGCTGCTGGCAGTACCCCTCCCCCCCACCCCGCAGGGTTAAATCGCGAAAAAAATTGACTTTTCAAAAAAAAAAAAAAAATAGGCGTACGTTCTAGAATGTCCGCCTTTTTTAATCATTTATGAAAGTTTTATTCTTGATTTATCCCTGGGGGTTACTTCCAGCAACACCCTAACCCTGGGCTTAAGGGTTAAGATTCTAACTCTGGGATTAAGCACTTTAAACAATAAGACACATTATCTCTACAGGATTTCAGTTGCAAAAGGTTTTGTGTCTACTCACTTTACTCAGTCGGGATGGTACTGAATAAATAATGATATATCCCAGTGGTTCATTAGTGAATCATCAAAACAATAGCAGCACTATGTTGTCATGTTTACCTAGTATCAGGCATTCTCAAAACAAAGTCCAGACAAAGTCATTATTTCTAAATTTACTCTTATCTCCATCTAGTACTGATATACTCTGTAAATGCACTGAAAATATAAAGAAAGAGTCTACCAGGTAAGAGTACATGACAGCTGAGCTGGTGTGAACATGGGAGTTGTTTATGTCCTAAAGAACATAAGAATGGAGGAAACTGCAGCTGGCCTATTGGCCCGTACTGGGCAGTCCCATTTACATCCAACCCCCTATCGCTCATATATCCATCCAACCTATGCTTGAAGCTGCTCTTACCGGCACAGTTCTTTACTTACGAAATGTGCATGACTTAGGCCACAAAAAACATTTAAAACTTGCATGAAAGTAGCATTTGGGGTTTGAAGAGGCCATCCTTTCTAGTACCTCCGACTGCAGCGATGAGTTTGAAGGTAGTGGCGTCATTGCAAATGGCGGCCCTGTTTCTAGAGAAATAAACTTATCTCGACACTGTATCACTCTACGAACTTGGCAGAGGTAATTTCTTGTGTTTACCCAGAACCGTCAACTCGTCCATTATAATATATTTTAGGCTTTATATAGTTAACAAATTTACTGCTAATGAAGGCTTTTTATATTTGTAAATTTATTTTCGTAATGTAGCAATCCCAACTGTGAAACAGTGAAATTGATTGTGTTAATTGAGCCAAAATTATTTGTTTTTGTCTTTCTAGGCCAAAGATGTAGAAACCACTCTCAAGAATGTGCCATCAGCAACAAATGACCACATCGCAGCCATCGACAAATTGGTTACATCCATTGCTGAACAGGTGAAAGTAACTCCAGATATGACCATACAACGGAAGGAAGTTGTGACTGAGCTCAATGACCTCCTCGTTGCTAAAGTTACAGGTACAGCACTTTTGGTGGTTTTCTCTACATTTTACTTCAAGTTAATAACTAAAATGGATGGCTTGCAAAGTATGTTCCAGTTCCTTGTTCTTACCAAAAGCCATCACTATATTCTGTATATACAGCATACTGTACACATTACCAGTACGTATCTAACTTAGATTTACGAAATGTACAATAATGTACCTGTAGTTCATCAACAGGATGGTTCACTACACTTCACTCACTCCCAGAAGTGGTGATAACCATTCACTATCTTGTTTTCTCATACATACCTACTGAGAAACCAAACTACCAATGTGTTTGAAGCTTAACCTTTTACACATTCAACTTGTCAGCCTCACCATTCCTACTACTGTGCCATAAGTAATTCACTAAGCATGTGAGCAGTATATATCTAGTTTTTATAAGCTGTGTATATTAACACATGCACAATGTAGGCAAGGGGGGACCGGTGGTAAAAGCGGTACCGTTCTTGCCTCGCAAGCGAGATGTCACGGGTTCGATTCCCGGGCCGGTGGAAGTTGTTTGGACTTACTTCCTAGCCCCCATTAGTCCCTGTTCACCTAGCAGTAAAGTAGGTACCTGTCGAAAGTTGCGAATTCGTATTCAGGGAAAGTTGTTGGAGCTTCCAATAACTTGATGACATAAACCACTGACTCTTCAGGCTTCTACGCCCTTAACTCATGAGATATAAAGGCAAGCATGAACTTAGCATGCTTCCCTGTTGGGCGCTGTAAACGCTTCTGCGCTTCACCTTACACAAGGATGTAGGGGGGTGCCCAATCAAAAAAAAAAAAAAAAATGTAGGCAAGGGCATAACTAAATAAGTTGATGCATGTAAACATCATTCACCTTATTATTTCAGACACCAAATGTAAATAAGAATGTGTGGAGTACACCAGTCATCATGATTTCAGTTGAAAAATAGAATACTGTACTTAGTATAAGAAGCATTAACCTTTTAAGTTTCTTCTGATTTATGTGAAGCAGATGTTGACAGTACAGCTGCTGACTGGAAACTGATCATGAGTTTCAAAATCTCGTATGACTGACTTTGGTGTTTGGAACATATAAACTTGGATTCAATTGAGGTAGAGGGCTGTAAAGTAATAGCTAATAGCATCATGTATCCATGCTTATAGTGCATTTGTCTCTGAGCATTACATGCTTCTGGACCCATGTAGACCCCTCTTGGCATCTCTGTTAGGTTAATTATGAGGCTCTATAGGCTGTAAATGAATTTAAAAGAATAGATTCATAATTTTTATGGCTATTTTCTGTGCTTGCATAGGTTGAAATTTTAGTGTTTTTTAATAAGTTTAACCAGGTAGGGTTTTAATTACATTACTGCAAAAGCAACTGCAACAAGGGGCAGAGAATATCAATACAGTGAAAACCCCCTGATTTTTGGAGTGGTTTTTTGAGGATAAAGGGAACTAGATGGATAAAAGAAAATCATCAGAAATTAAAATTTTTGAAATGAAGAATGTATTTTTAATGTACCAGCATGTCATTGAAAACAGTTAAATTATAAAAAGTTTGTTGAAAACAGTTAAATTTCTTTAAAAATGAAGAAAAAGTTGCTGCTAATTTCAATCTATGTTCTTGTGTAGGATGTCGCTTGGAGATGGTGGGATCATCCCTGAGTGGGTTCTGTTTAAACACCAGTGATATCAACATCGACGTTGTAATGGACGACAACCTTAATCCATCTACTGCATTACTGGCAGTCAAGGAGTTGGTTGGAAAAAGTGAAATATACAGGTATGTTTACAAGTGTGAAATTTTGGACTGTCATTGGAGATTTTTAATGAACAAGTATATACTGTGAATGTTAACATTATATAGTACAGGTATGCCTAGGTTATTATTATTGATATATTCTTAAGAAGTATATTACAGTATATGCAAAAACATGTAAATTGAAAACAATATTCCCATAGAAGAACATATGGTATTCATATACAGGAATACGAACCCTGCTATTCGCAGCCCCGCTTATCTGCAATTGATATTTTAACACCCCTATTCGATATTCTCAAAGCATACCCCGCTTCTTCGCAAATGGAAAATTACGATGCCTTGCAGTAATATTTCAAACCGGGCTGGCTACCCGCAGCTTTTGCATTCCAACGTAATGCGCGCTTCACCCCTACTGAGCCAACCTTTGAGTTATGTTGTTATTTTTCAACTTGTATTTTATTACATTTATTTTACTCTCTTACATGTACACACAATTGTTCATACAGAATAAGAAAAAACTATAAGATCAAAAACATAAATATAATATACTGTATGTCCATGGTAGTTAGTGTGCCGGAAAGTGGGAGGTGTGGGTGGTATGAGATAAATAATAATGATTAGCTGTATTGACACACACACACACACACACACACACACACACACACACACACTTGTCAACCCAAGAAATAACAATCAAAGATATTGTTATGTGTTACATTTACTACTACAAAGAGGAAGAATTGTTATATACGTGGCAGCGGATCTACAAAGAGACTGTTACATCTATTACAACGATCAAAGAAATCAGTAATGGATAACAACATTCCGGTCTATATACACATTCTACATAACAAGGCATAAGTGTTTTACGAATCCAGAAAAACAATAAAACAGTGACGTATTATATTCTTCCAAAGTGTATTGTAATATCCTGTAGTGTGACGTTATACGTTGAGTGATTTTTATTTTGTCATCCAAAGATGATGTCCAAAATCTTTTTTTAAATCTATCACCAATACTGAGTTATTGATAGTTGCTGAATTATGGCAACAATCCTGTGAGCTGAAGTGAACATTAGTTTCTGCAAATGATTCGTTCACTGCCCAGGGTGTGACAGGACGTGACTACAATTCTTGTGACTACTCATCAATCAACATCCTGTCAACAAAATTCTTTCGTATGGCCTGAGTAACCCCCAGTTGCCAGTACCCCCGTAGTGATGACACATCTCGGACCAAGAGAGATGGTCTCAGTATTCTGAGGTATGGTGTGGTGGATGCACTAGTGCAGGGGTTCTCAAACTTTTTTCAACCAAGGATCCCTTATATACCACGAAGCATACAAATATTGTCAATAATCAAAGAATAAATCATAGTCCAAAGCATTTGTTCATTTCAACCCAAATCCAAAATATCTGGCGAATTGGAATCGCCAAATCTCTCACAAATGTTAAACGCACTATTTCTCAAAAACTAGTGACTAGTGTACCTAGTGAACCCCAGAGTCTTTAAGTTCACTGACAGGGAGCAGCAGTTTGCTGAACTCAGGATTTTGGTGGACATTGACCCAGTTACCGACCTTCGCATCAGCTGTGTCTCCTGTGAGTGACACACTTAAGTCAAGAAATTCTAGAAAGGATTCTTCAATCGAGCTTACAAGGAATAGGGAGTTTTAGGTATATATATATATGTATATATATATATATATATATATATATATATATATATATATATATATATATATATATATATATATATATATATATATATATATATATATATATATATATATATATATATATATATATATATATACATATATATATATATATATGTACGCGGGTGAAGTATAATTTTTTTATTTAGCTCATAAAATTCATACAAATTATCCGGCCAGAATATAATTTACATTGCTGGAATTCTTACAATTTGATGATCATTTTGAATATAAGCATCATAGATTTTGCATTAGACATACAAATTTTAGATCTAATGCAAGTATTTTGTTTACTCAGAGCAAATATGTTATCTTTTGTGCAAAATATATGATGTGTATATTCAAAATATTCCTGGTCTTGCAAGGAATCCAGCAATGTCAATTATATTATCCTAACTTTAGTCTGAGGTATTATTTATTACTAAAAATGTAAATATAATGTTATAACCCAAACATTTCTCTGGTAGGGAGGGAGGGAGGGATCCAGGGAGCAGGTGGGAAGAGGGGGGGAAGTGGGGTATTGTGATTGACAGATAGTATATGGGTAAGTATATTTTATTTATTTATTGAAGATATTTGTTTTAGCTCATAAAATTCATACAAATTACCCGGCCAGAATATAATTTACATTGCTGGAATTCTTACAATTTGATGATCATTTTGAATATAAACATCATAGATTTTGCAATAGACATACAAATTTTAGATCTAATGTAAGTATTTTGTTTACTCTGAGTAAGTATGTTATCTTTTGTGCAAAATATATGACATTTATATTCAAAATATTCCTGGTCTTACAAGGAATCCAGCAATGTCAATTATATTATCCTAACTTTAGTTTTAGGTAATATTTATTACTATACCTTAAAATCTAGTGTTTTCCCCCAAACATTTCTCAGAGAGGGAAGAGCCAGTGAGTGTGAGAAGAGGGGGAGGGAGTTGAGTCCATTATTTGAATGGACATTAACTTGGCGACTGTATTTCTCTATTTCTCTTAAATATTAATTGTGTGCGTGTACCATCATAAAATTAAGATGTTATTTTTACTAGAACATAGGTATTGTGTCGGAAAAAGTGGAGTTTGGGGGTCGGCCCGGTCTCTATTTCAATTAATCCCATATGTTATGTTGTTCACTTTAAGTGGGCCTTACGCGGGCCTCCGTGGGTTCAATGGGTTCAATTGACCGCGTAAAGTGAGGGTTCACTATACTGTATATATATATATTCAACGACATAACTTCACATGGATAGACATCGTGTTGGCTCTATCAATTATTATAAGTGCCTTACTCATTTGAATATATACTGACGTACTATAATTTCCAGTATTTATTTTTCAACTGTTCAGCTATTGATACTTTAATTATTTTAAATATAATTTTCATCAATTTCCTGTAAATGGATGCACAAGGTTATTTTTTTTGGTTTGTATCTAAATAATTTTTCAAACCTTAGACATAGAAAATGCAAATTTTTTTCTTCCCCAGGAAGGATAATATTGTTAACAATTTTCAAAACTACAAATATAATAGTTTCATATTAATTTTAATGATGTTATAGACACATCTTTTCAAACTACAAATGTGACAGTTATCTATACAGTAATACCCCGCTTTACGCGGTTCTCGTTTACACATGTCTACATTTACGTGGTACCCTGCCAGAACCGGAATTCCCACTTTACGCGGTGCATCTACTCATATACGTGGGTGAAGTATAATTTTTTATTTAGCTCATAAAATTCATACAAATTACCCGGCCAAAATATAATTTACATTGCTGGAATTCTTACAATATGATGATCATTTTGAATATAAACATCATGGATTTTGCATTAGACACAAATTTTAGATCTAATGTAAGAATTTTGTTTACACAGAGCAAATATGTTATCTTTTGTGCAAAATATATGACGTGTATATTCAAAATATTCCTGGTCTTGCAAGGAATCCAGCAATGTCAATTATATTATCCTAACTTTAGTCTGAGGTATTATTTATTACTATACCTTAAAATCTAGTGTTTTCACCCAAACATTTCTCAGAGAGGGAGGAGCCAGCAAGCATGGGAAGAGGGGGGGGGGGGTTGAGTCCATTATTTGAATGGACATTAACCTGGCAACTGTATTTCTCTTACATATTAATTGTGTGTGCATACCATCATAAAATTAAGATGTTATTTTTACTACAACATAGGTATTGTGTTGGTATTGTGTCAGAAAAAGTGGAGTTTGGGAGTCGGCCCAGTCTCTATTTCAATTAATCCCATATGTTCTGTTATTCCATTTACGCATTTCTCGTTTTACGAGGACCTCCGCGTGTTTAATTGACCGCGTAAATTGGGGTATTACTGTACAGTATATGTAAAACAAAGAAGTATATCTGTGTTTGTGTGTCCGCAGGAGAATCTCGGAAACTACTTTACTGATCTGTAGTGACGATGGATGGTGTTATATGTAGTGATGATGGATGGTGTTATATGTAGTGATGATGGATGATGTTATATATAGAATATGAAAAGTATCCCTCTGTTGTCATTGGCAACATGGATAAGAAATGTGAATACTGCGGTGCAAAGAAGTACAAAGGAGAATCTGCTGGACTCATGGGAAAGTACGACTGCCAAATTTGGAAAAACCACCACAACCAGTGAAGACTCTCATGCTAGGAACAACACCAGAATCAAAACACTTCTTGGAAAAATATACGGAAGTACAATTCATGCTCCCAGATGGCATCCTTTGGAGCTACCAGAGTAGTTCGTGAGCACGGATACATGCCCACATTCAAAGTCCAGGGTCAAGTCTATCACAAAGCAGGATCCCTTTTACCACTGAAAGATGAGCAGGCAAAGTTCCTCCAAATCTACTTCATGGGAGATCATGAAAAGCAGACTACTGTACTATCAGGTGTGGCAACATTCAAGGTGCCAGACAGGACATTGTCCTATCTATCCAAAAAATGCTGCATGAGCGCAACACGTATGTACAGTCATTTAAAAATGCCCTGGAAAACATGCCTTCTGACGAGTACAAAGTCAGGATCAAAGCAGACACCTTAATGCACTACAGTGAGACAATGTGGAGCCTCCCGGAGGGTGGCGTCCTACCGTGGCCTAGCGAAAGATCCGCCCGGAGGTTGGCGATTCTGCTAGTACAGTAATATTTTTGTCCTTTTAAGTCAGAATCATCCAATTTTGCCATTGTACACAATATATTCTCCATAAGGCATGGAATGGTGTAAGCTGGTGAAGGGATAATTTTATTAGTAATATGCAAATATTCATTTTAATAACACTTGAAAACTTTCCTCCACAGAGATGTTGTTGATGACCTGTCATCATCATTCCCAACCATGTCCTTCACTCATGCCAAGACTAGTCTACGTATGGTAGTAGGGGCAAGCAGTACATCTTCTAAGTTTACTAATCAATTGCTTGCTGACTATGCATCCTTGGACTCACGGGTGCCAGTCTTGGGCGTGGCTTTTAGATACTGGGCCAAGGTAGGGTATTTTGAAATTAATCTACATGACTTATTTGTAATTGTAATCTACTGTATATCTCTTTTTTTGTATTTGGTATTCCCTAATAAATTTCCTTATATAATTTGCTGATTGCCAGATTGAAATTATTTTTCTGTGCCATACATGTAGTTTTTTAAAATCAGTTTTAGTAATGTAAAGTACTTGCGAAACAGTTGGGTAACTTATCCATATCTCCAGTAAAAAATGCTAAACATATAATTTAAAACAATTATATTAGAGGAAATCCTGAGATGTAATCTGAAAGATAAATCCGAGTTTAAGAGAGTGTGGCTAATTATTAAGTTGAGCTGCACTGAATGTGGCTGAAGAGAAGAGCCCATCATTCACAGTCTTTCATAGGTGTTGTTTTTTAGTAATCAGGAGGTACTTCACAATAGTAGCTGGGACTATGATCATGCAATTTATAACATTATTTTTATAATTTTATTAACTAAGAGAGAATGAGGGGAGAAAGATTAACCACAGGGTGAGGGGGTGAGGTGAGGTGGGGTGCAGTTAAGGATGGAGGGAGCATATGGTCTTCCCCCATCAACAAGGCAAGTGGCTGGGGGGAGAGAGATAGAGGAGGTTAGTTAGACACACTTGCGAGGAACACTATTGTTATTGAGTGGATCATGGGTACGCTGAATGAGAGTATGAATTATCATTGATAGTATATTCAGTGTTGAAGTGTTCATATAATTTTCTTTATTTAAATACTGTATATATGAAAGTTAACCATATAAGAATATAATAAAGCCTGTTTTGAGACCTGGCCATGGCTGCCTACACTAGCTTTAGTATGGGCAGGATAGGGTCACTGAATGGTGTCTCACTACAATTCAGTGTTAACTAATGACAAGCTAAGATGCCATAAAATTCTGACAAGTGTTGATTTTGAAAGGCACTAAAGCAAATGTCTGGGGAAGAGGGTAGTTTGTTTCCATTGGAAGAAAAAAAAAATGTCAAATAACTACCGGTATCTATGAGAAGTCATCAAATTTACATAAGATATATTTTCAGCTTTGCCAGATAGATGACCAGTCACGAGGAACTCTTCCCCCTCATGTATTCCCACTGATGGTAGTGCACTTCTTGCAACAGCATCAGACACCTGTTCTCCCAGTTCTACATGCATTACACCCAAATCCAGATGGAGAGGCTTACTTGTGTGAGTAATTATGCATTCATTGCCTTTGTCATAATGTCCAAGAATACAGTCAGTGTTTTTGTATTTATGTTTTTATATGCCTGTGTAAAGTGAACTCTCTACTGATATCACACTGTTTGTTGGTCTTGTCAGTCTGTTCACCTGTAAACATTTTGGGTTCTGAAGCATAACATGTTTCCCTGTACAAATGAATACAGTACAGTAGATTCCTGGTTATCCTGAGTCTGGGTAACTGGCAGATTCAACTGACCGGTACCAAAATGAAATGATAATAATAATAAAATTCCTCCAAATTCAGTTAAAATTGTAAGTTTGTATACCACATGCAATGGAGATGAGTTGCTCTTTCTTTTTTAACGGGATTAGCCCCACTGACCCACATCGGGGCCTGGCGGGTAAAAATGGAATAATAATAATAATAATAATAATAATAATAATAATAATAATAATAATAATAATAATAATAATAATTCATAGTAAATAAAATTAATAATAAAAATAAAAACAAAGTAAAATAATTATGATAAAAATAATAATAATAATAATAATAATAATAATAATAATAATAATAATAATAATAATAATAATAATAATAAAGAACCATCAAGAAATACAAAAATGAAAAAAAAGATGAAAAGTGAGAAGCACTATATGTATGCTGTGTTGTCAGGAGTACGAGAAACAATTGAGACCCTGCAATTGTGTGTAAATGAGGCAGAAATTCAGATCAGGAACCTGGGACTTTGTCACAATTTTTGTGATGCCATATGGCAGTAGGGTCTACCATTAGACAATACATTATGCTTCCAATATCTTCCCATCCAGTAGTATCTCCCTGTTTGATAGCTGCATCCTACCTATTTGCTGGGCAACATGTTTGAAAGAAAGTGCCCGGTGTGCCACCACCTGTAGTTACATTATGATGTAGTTGATAATTAGAGAACAATTTCATAACATGGACCTTCAATTGTTACTTTGTAGATTGGAAATAAAAAAATATCCTTTATTTTATGAAAAAAAAAATGTCAACACTGCTTCTCTTAGCTGTAAACATGGCACGAGGCTTTGTAGCCTGTCTGTAGCTGTATCTTATTTTTGGCACTGTGATTTAACTTCACCCTACTTTTGTTTACACTCATTTTAGATGGTAGGGCAAATGAGACAGAGAAAAGTAGATATGATGTGGCAGTTGAATAGTTCAGTTTAAAATCATTTGTTAGGAAGTATTAATGTAGAGTGCGTGCATATAGTTGCTCTAACATTGCTCACCTCAAGCTGTTGTTGTGGTGACTGTAAGTGTTGCAAGGACTTGATAACTTTTGAAGACAAGAATAGAATGTCAAAAAGAAAGAAGGTTATACTCTTTGACGGAATCAGTTTACTTACGGAAGTATAAATTCATTCATATGGAAAACCCCTTTTAATTATACTATTTTTTTTATTACAGCCCCAGCTGAACTTGGTGACAAATGGAAGTGCAAGAACACTGATTGTGTGGGTAAATTGTGGCTGGACTTATTTAGATTTTACACTGTAGTCTTTAAAATGACAGATTTTGTGATTAATGTTCGCCAACATCAACCCATAACAGGAGCTGAAAAAACTTGGAGCAAAAAGATAGCTGTTGAAGGTAAGACAGTTTCACATATTGTATATTTTTTGTATATATTTTGATCTTTTCATATATACAATACTATTTCTGCCAAGTATCCATACAGGTACATATATTGGTTAATACTCAACTGACCTCTGTGTGCGACACATTCTTTTCAGTATGCACACCAGTGTGGTTGACACAGTCTTCCTCACACAGTACTCCTTTGTTTCACACACACACACTCATACTACAGGGCCCTTGGGCTTCTCCTAAATCTGTTTCTGTTAATCAAACTTAATTGCCTTTGCTCTAAACATTCTTCCAACATATCTTTTTGAAGCATAAAATTTATTGTAATTTCTGTTTGGCTGTTAGCTGAAAGTTTTCGATAATTGATATAAGTAAGTAATGATTATATATATATATATATACAGCTGCTCTTTTGAGTACACCAAAAGGTTTTGATCAGGGGTACAAAGATCAAGTTCCCATGACCCTGAAAAGATAACATGTTTTTATTTGGTTTCAACACCTCTGCATGTGGATGATGTGCTGTTTGAGGTACTTTTGCATTTAAGTTAATGTTGTTTTTTGTCCATTTTTATTGCAGATCCTTTTCTTCAGAAGAGAAATTTAACAAGAACAGTGAGCGGAAACTCAGTGTTTGAATATATTGTGGACCGCTTCAAGACCACCTATAAGTACTTTGCTATTCCCGAGTTGTCCTACGGTCCTCTTTTCTTGCACATAGTTGTGAAAGAGGTAATTATCATATGAATTTACTTCAAATAGTTCTTGTTATCATCTTTCTCTCTTCACTTAAAAGATCTAACATTGACTGTATCAGTGGAGGACTGTTTGCTTATGTTGTTGACCTGGTGTGATCAGAAACCAAAGCGCTACCTAATTAAAATGTGAAGTATCATACCGTTACTTCTTTGTAATTTTCATCTCTATACCAGGTGCAGGTTGTTAATGGGTCCAAGGCACCATCTGGCATAAGTCAAAAAAACAAGAAAGGGGACATGCTGTTGGAATCAATTGAAAAGGTGATATATCTTTGTGGTATATCCTCATCCATCCCATATCTTTCCTCTCCATACAATGAGACCATCATGTCACTCACTTTCCCTTTGCTTTCTTTATTCCACACCTCATCCTAAAATCCTTATATCACTTTTACACTTAATTAACTGCTCATCTGTAAGAAAGCTTGTAGCACACTTGCATGTTCTCAGCAATTTTGCTTTTGCGTCATAATTCTTCACTTGGAAATATGGCACAATAGGTTATTTTGCATTCTTTAATAAATTCCATCATTCCTTTCTTGATTGTGCTTAGAGCTCCAGCTAGTTGCTTACTTATTAGCAGCCTTTCAGATTATCATCCAGCTTTTTTGCATTCATATTAAGAATCTGTATATGCCTGCATCTTTGCTGTGTTGTTCATTTGGCAAACATTTGAAGGGCACAATGTATGAATATTAGTTTTACTCACGTTAATTCTGTACTGGTACAAGTTGAGGTGTAGGTACTGCTCCAGTGATTTCCACCTGGTCGCACAATCAGGAAAAGATTATTTATCTCGTAGATACAGGGAGTGGAATTGTCTTCTTTTTAATAATTTTGAACACAAAGAACATGCAATGACAAGGTATTCTCTCTTATGTTTGGTAATTAAGAGTAGGGATGTAAATAGGGTGCGAGTCAATATCTGTGGTCTAGCACACGAAATATGTGCTAGACCACAGCTCTAGTGGGCTGTTGAGAAAAAAGCTGAAAATGTTATTGATAGAGTTTGTACCTGTTAGTAATGAGTATAAATAAAAGAAATTGATGAAAATCGGTAGGAACAATGACAGGAAGAAGTAATTTTAGTATGATTAAGGGTAAAATAAAGGAAGTGGTATGTTTCATATATCTTGGATATTTAACATTTGGAAAATGATTAACCATATGAATTAAATCATAAGAGTAAAGGAGGAAAATATAGCGTGGTATTAGGTTCGCTTGGATATATAGAGAGATAACCATGTGAAAAATGGTAAAGTTGGTGATCAGTTAGGGAAGTACCGTCAACCCTCACTTTACGCAGTTAATTCAACCCACAGGGTACCGCGGAAAGTGAGAAATGCGTAAAGTGAACAACATAACATATGGGATTAATTGAAATAGAGACCGGCTGACCCCCAAACTCCACTTTTTCCGACACAATACCTATGTTCTAGTAAAAATAACATCTTAATTTTATGATGGTACATGCACACAATTAATACTTAAGAGAAATAGAGAAATACAGTCGGCAAGTTAATGTCCATTCAAATAATGGACTCGACTCCCTCCCCTCTTCTCACACTACACTCGCTGGCTCTTCCTTCTCTGAGAAATTTTTTGGGGAAAACCACTAGATTTTAAGGTATAGTAATAAATAATACCTCAAACTAAAGTTAGGATAATATAATTGACATTGCTGGATTCCTTGTAAGACCAGGAATATTTTGAATATAAATGTCATATATTTTGCACAAAAGATAACATATTTACTCAGAGTAAACAAAATACTTACATTAGATCTAAAATTTGTATGTCTAATGCAAAATCTATGATGTTTATATTCAAAATGATCACCAAATTGTAAGAATTCCAGCAATGTAAATTATATTCTGGGTAATTTGTATGAATTTTATGAGCTAAAACAAATATCTTCAGTTAATAAAAAAAAAAATATTCTTCACGACACTATCTGTCAATCAAAGTACCCCACCTTGCCTCCCCCCCACCCCCCACCTTCCCTCCCTACCAGAGAAATGTTGGGTGAAAAACTAAATTTTAACTTTCAGTAATAAATAATACCTCAGACTAAAGTTAGGATAATATAATTGACATTGCTGGATTCCTTGCAAGACCAGGAATATTTTGAATATACACTTCATATATTTTGCACAAAAGATAGCATATTTGCTCTGAGTAAACAAAATACTTGCATTAGATCTAAAATTTGTATGTCTAATGCAAAATCTATGATGCTTATGTTCAAAATGATCATCAAATTGTAAGAATTCCAGCAATGTAAATTATATTATGGCCGGATAATTTGTATGAATTTTATGAGCTAAATAAAAAAAATTATACTTCACCCGCGTCAAAGGGTACACGCACCGCGGAATGTGAGCATCCCTGGTTCTGGCAGGGTACTGCGTAAACGTGGAAGCGCGAAATGTGGGACCTGCGTAAAGTGAGGGTTGACTGTACAGGTTGGACCTGGCTAACCGAGAAACTCGAGACCAGACTGGTTGCGGATTAGCAAAAATTCTGAACCATCGAAGCCGAGGTTCAAAAATGGCAAAATAATGCATAAGATGTACTATTACAGGTACCAATATAATTCACATCAGCATAAATCTAGCTGAGGCTTACTGGACCTCTTTATGATAAAGTGTTAATGCTATGGCACACCTGGACCCTCGTTTTATACCATTCACTATATGGGAATGCGCTTAAATGTACAGAACTAAATAAAGAATTTATTTGAAATAATTTGTAGCATTCAATGCCATAATATCCTGACCACTGTGGTTAGTTATACAGACTTTTCCCTTTGAAAAAGCCATAATTTTGAGCAGCATATTACTGTACTCAAATGTACTAAACTGAAGGACTAAAAATTTTATCTCGTGCAAACTATGAGATGTTTATACTCAAATTAATTGTTATCTTGCAAGGATTCCAGCAATGAAGGTTATATTCTGCTTAGTCAAGTTTGTGATATTTTATAAGAGAAGAACTTTAAGCCTAAAACCACCTTCATCCCATTAATCGTTATCACCCACCGTCATCTGCCTGCCCTGCTGGCTGGAGCAGGGGGGGAGGGGGAGGTGGGGTCTTGACAGCCATGAAAGGTGCGGAGTTTTCAGTTGAGGGGTCAGGAGGGACATGGGATAAAAGACAGGGAATTAAAGTTTTTTGTTTATAAAATGTCACCGACTTGACTTAGAAGAATATATCCTTCATTGCTGGAATCCTTGCAAGAGAGCAGTGTTGCTTCACTCTCTCTTTTACAGGTACAGTAGGGTCGGTATATATCGCGAGAGAGGGTCCAACGATGTTTGCTATATACTAAATTGCGATATAGAATTCCATGTAATCAATGGGGAAAAAGGGTTAGGTTCTGGAGGCCAAAAAAAGTGACGAAACTTAACTTAATGAGTTAATTTTCTTACTAACTAAAGCACCAATGAACACTAGACTCAGGAACTACAGGCTATTTCAATATCAAGGAACACCAGACTCAGTAGCTGACGCACCATCCTGGGAACAACAGCCTCGGCAGCAGACGCCACCCTCACTTGACAATCCCACACCTACATAAACGAACATCAAAAATATTAGTTACAGTATTAAATCTTTTCCATTGAGCTTTCCATTATCTTCACTTCACTTTTCACGTCACTAGCAACCCATTTACACTCACCTTAGAAGCCGTAATCTGCAGCAGAGTTGGCTGATTTCTCGTCACTCACTCGCAAAGACTGAGCGGGCGATCGTGAATGCGTGAGTGAGCAGCCATGGTGGCGCCTCTGGTGAGCAAATAATGCATTTGTTTGCCATGGTGGTACATTTGAATTATTTCCTGCCCGATTTCCCTCGCAAAATAAAAACAATTATTGCTATACAGTATATAGGAAAATTTTGATAATTTTGGTAGCCGCGATATAAAAAAATCGTTATATAAAGTCGCGATATATCCCGACCCTACTGTACTATAACGGGCAATGTTCGCTGGATTTGGCATCCTGTGTACCACCGGCAAGGCTGTGGGCTCTTTACACTCGTCTTGCTGACGGTGCCCACCATTTCTCTGTGGCTGTCGGTCACACTAGAATAACCCATTATAGTACATCCTTCTTTCCTCACACAGCCAAACTGTGGAATGCTCTGCCTGCTTCTGTGTTTCAAAACTCATACAATCTGTTTCACTTTAAAAAGCTGGTTTTCTGGCATCTTCGTGGTGTAGACTAGTTTAATCTTTTTCTTTTCTATTTTTAATTTCTTTTTACTCATATTCTTTCACCCCTCAGGCCCCGTTATGGGTCAATGACCTGTGCCCGGGTGGGCTATTTCCCGAAAAAAAAAATATAGATAAATACTGGTTGTTATAATTGTAATGATTTTTCCACAGCTTTTATAGAATTACTGTTGACCTTTTGTAGTTGTTGAACATATCCTAATTTTCCCCTTAAGATTAAGTATTCATTAGTATATGTATCCTGAACCATCAAAGCTGCTGGACTATTGGGTCCCGGATTAGTGGGGTCCAACCTGTATTGGTATTTGGGTGTGAATCATGGACTCTGGCTGCAAGGGGAGGAAGTGTGTTAGAATTGGTAGAGATGACATATTTAAGAGTTATATGTGGAATAAATAGGATGCAGGGATTAGGAGTTACAGAAATTAGATGTGAAAATGAAAGATTTGTAAGACAGAGTTCACCAGTGTCTGTTTTGGTGGCATATGGACATGGTGAAACAAAGTGAAGTGAAAGGCTAACATGAGTGAAGGATTTAGAGTTGGGAAGGCCAGTGAAATGGAAGGATAAGGTGAAGGTTCACTAGAAGTGCAGGGATGGGGATCAAGGAAGCATCAGAGCATGTGAATGATAGGAGAGTACAGCATTGAGTGGTATATGAGGATTTCACAGCAGTTAAGAATGAATGGATGAAGGTGAGTGAGAGTCCATGTTTGTCTTGGTTGTGGCTACCATTCAATAATAGCAGGAAAAGGCTGGCAAGTTGTGGTAAAAGAAGACTAGAGTCGACCTTTTTCTAGGCTTTATTGTTCATATAACTGACCAAGGGCAGTATCTGGAAGAGAACAAAAGAATATTCTAGTAAGTGAAGGGAACAATGAAAATTACTAATATAATATAACCCCTAACAAAACAACACCCAATGATAAGAAACATAACATATGTACATACACACGTAACAAGACAGAAGACATGGGTTCAAGTGTACAAGTGCTGCATAACTTTATCACAAGTAAAGAAGAATGAAGTTTCTCCACATCCAAGCCTACTTTCCTTCCCTTAACCCATTTCTGGATTTTCTCAGTCCCTACAGTCTTTATTCTTAGAGAAAATTAAGAAACAGTATATAATAAGTTGCTTTATGATTCTACCAGCTGTTTTGGGAATAAAAAAAACACAATACTATACTAGTATTGCTGACTTGTTAGTTACTTTAGCCAAACGATCATTATCTTAATCTTGGCTCACCTAATCTCATAATTTGTCTTGTTGCTACAGTTAAAACATTGCACCTGTGGGTCAACTGTCTCTTTGGATCATCTTTATTTTTTCTTAGTTGGTGGTGTAAATAAGAGGAAATGGCATGTAATTAGAGTTGGGGATCAGTTGGTTAAAAAAAATTACTGGCAGTGAATTTGAATGGTTGGCAACTGCAAAATTAAGATGAATATACGTATAAATATACAGTAAACCCTCGAAGATCTTGACCCGGAAAATTCGAATTTCGGAAGACCTGGACAAAAAATTTAGGGATTCTGGGTTAAAAAGCTTCCTAGAAGTTTCCCTAAGAAACATTTTAGGCCTGTGGGCGCTGCTTGACCCGTCAGTTGCTTGGACACAGGTGCCTGAGGTGGGAAACATAAACAGAGTTGACAATTGTTTTTTGTGGGAATATTATTTAATTCACTCTAATAATGATACAATGTATCGTAATATGTTGTCATAGGTAAATGCGTGGTTTATATACGGTAATTTGTTTATCACGACAGTAGGGTCGGGATATATAGCGACGTTATATAACGATTTTTATATATCGCGACTACCAAAATTATCGCCATTTTTTACTATATAGCGATAAATTTTTTATTTCGCGAGGGAAATCGTGCAGGAAATATTTCAAATTTATCACTACTGTGGTCCCTCGGTTAACGAATGGTTCGGTTAACAAAATTTCGGTTCACGAATTACCTTCCATAAGAATCTTCAATTCGGTTAACGAACAAAAATTTGATTAACGAAATCCTTACAAACATCACGTTTTGTTGTGAGCATCACCTGATCAGCTGATGGGCTAGTCTGCCAATTCAGTAATCTGTTCTATGTTTACATTCGTTTCCAGTGGAGTAAATATCAAGAAAGATGTGCTCTTTAATATTTTTGCATTTTTTATATTAAAATTATTAGTCATTTTAACATTTATTTAACATGTTGATAATATATGCAGTACAGGGAACTAGTTTTTTGCGCGCCCATCAGACGCTTGACTCAGCCACAAGGCGTCAGTTGGGCTTTGTTGACAGTGGAGTGAACATCTATTTTGTTGGTGTCTTGAATATTTTTGCATTTTTCATTAAAATTATTGGTCATTCTGAACTTTAGTTAACATATTGATAATATATAGCGCAGTGCAGTGTTGATTTATATAAAATAATCTTGAATTACACTAAGTGAACTTAAAATTTTATTGGTGAAATGACGGCATCAAGCATTGGTCCCCTGATAGGTGATTTCTCCTCCATCCCCACTTCCTTCTCTTCTCCCTTCTCCTCCATCCCCACTTCTAATTCCCATCATCATCATCAACCAGGAACCTCAAAGTAAGTGTACTTTACTGCATTTTTTTTTTTTTACTTTGTGTACTTTTTGGTGAGCTGAAACCAATTATCTAATATCCCATTGAAACAATGGATACGCTTAACGAAATTTTCGGTTAACGAACGACCTTCTGGAACGAATTGTGTTCGTTAACCGAGGGACCACTGTACAGTGGTCAGAGAATAATCTTGTACATCTTGTTTTACAATTTCTCCAGAAACATTATATTTGTGCAACAGTTATGGAAGAAGACCAGGTAGGGGAATCACTGGTGAGTTTAGGAAGTACTAAGATTGTGTAAATATTATTGAGCCCAGTGGCGTAATTGGTTAGCATGTGATACTTAAACAACAGATATTGGAAGTCCAGGTGTCTTGAAATGATGAAGGATGTTGAGATAGTAGATGGAAGATTTGACACTAATACTGACTTGTACTTTCCAGCTCAATTTCATCTATATTGATGCAAAGAAGTTTTAGAATTCACTTTCTTGGTGCAATTGTTTTCAGACTTTTCTGTTACCAGTATATTATTAGTCAGTCAGGTTCAGATTTTCCTCCTTCCATTCGACTTTTTAATTTTTTCTGAGCCCTTCCTGACTTTGATTCAGGGGTGGTTCTCTCATCATTTTTTGCAGAGATTTTTGTGGGATCCACCTGGGATTTGTCCACATTACAGATTATATAATTGTCACATTAGAATACTAATGGTGAGTGATGATACTCACCACCACAGTTATCAAACAGTTGTCACTTTCATTGTAACATTTGCTGGAAGAAATAGTTTTCAAAGTACTTTGCTCCTTTTTACAGATACATGGCTGAACTGATATTGAATATGAAAACATTAATGTTTATTTGGTAAACACCTTAATTCAATGATACTGAAGAGCATATTGTGTTATTCATATAAAGCTTTTAATGGACTAAGAAGGCGAATAAGACATGAATATTTTTTGTAAGTTATGATATTAGAACCCCGATGTTTACTCATGAGTTATTAACATTGAAAACTTTCATTGCTCCAAGGTTCCATAGTTGTGTAGAATAGCTTGCTTTCTATTTAATTTATAATGAATAGTAGT